AATAATTTTCAACACTTTCACCAAATGATAAGATGTTATAGATTTTTTGAAGTATACACATTAATGTGGCTAATAAAGGACACATACATGTAACTAGAAAATCATAAAAACTGTTTGCAATTCACACCATCTATATCTCTGATTAGAGCGTTAATATATACAACTTTGATAAATCATCTTTCTCCAGCCATTTTATAAACTTTAAAATAAACATTGTATTATGAATGTAAACCTCTCTTGTTAGACTTGAAAGATAATTTTTCAGGGAAAGAAAATATCTATTTGGTAATCATTCATAAATATTATTATATTACATCTTTTATTTTTTTTAATTAAGCCTAATCTATGTTGATTAAAAAAGTAAGAAATGAAGTCCGAAATTGATAAATGGCAACTAGGGAGATTATAAATATGCATTACAGTTGCATCATCTAAATACTTCATCATAAACACAGAGGTGTTGCATATTCAGTGGCAATTAAGTCTTGATGGCGCCTCGACGAAACATTAGACTTGTTGATGAAAAAAATGATAATTGCATTGTTTTGCTAATATGGGAGTCAACTGACATGGTTGTTACCATTATGGTTGTTACCATTATGGTTGTTACCATTTATGGTTGTTACCATTAATAGTGAATTACTTGCAAGATTCCACCAAGTACCATTGCATCTGTAGATACAGTAAAACTTGTCTATGTGGAAAACCTTTCATACCTGTATTAAGTATTCTTCTTGGGAGATGTTCCACTTAAAGAGGTTCATTAAGCATTAAGTCAGTTGGTTTTGGACTCCTGAAGTGTTCTACTAACAGAGGTGTTCTACTAACAGAGGTGTTCTACTTATGGAGGTGTTCTATTTTACAGGTTTCACTGTACATTACAAAACACTGCAACTTTTTTCCTTGGAACTTTTTGGAATTACAAAACTTGTCAATCTAAACTTCAACTTTGAGTTTTTACTGAATTTAAGCTCTCATTTCAGCTTGATACAAATGACCATTATGTATTACTATCATTTATAAACCAATTTATGGAAAAGAAATGTTTTACTAAAAATATGACATGTCAAAACATGATGAAAAAACATTAGTGAATTAAAATGTGGCACAAGGTATTGATCTAATAATATCAACATCATACTGTTATGGTGATTAAAAAATGTGATCTAATTTACCATGTTGACACCTAAGTACACATCTTACTCATCGTACACCATGTACTGCTTTTGTTATAAAGATTACAACAACAATGCACACCTCAGATCATACATTATTCTTTGAGTAGCTGACTTGCCCGACAACAAATTACTACAGTCGTAAAATCATGACTTTGTTTTTTACAGCTAAATAATCAAAATATCTAATATAAACAACTTGTACTTACACGCATAAGTACATCCTTACTAACCGCAATGAAAGTAATAAATGTCTAATTGTTTTATCTGTGGAAATATTAACTCACGTTTTATCCTGTAAGCAGCTTTAGAAACAGAGTAGATAGAAACCAAGAACTTGCACTAATCGTAGTCTAATCGTCAAGGTCAAAGTCGTCACTACATTCAAGGGGAACTACCTATAACCTGGTGCACCATAGACACTCTATTCCATAAATAACTCCTTTTTATATTATTGTATTGCGTAGATCAATGGAAAGTACCCTTATACACATGTCCATCATAATATGTTTTATAAAGTAGAGCATCTGTAGTATCTCCTACATTGCTTTCAGGTTAAACCTCATTATACTTCTCTCATATAATATTTCCCTGTCTATGATGCAGTTTATTTGTTTTGAAGTCTGTGGTTTGATCATCAAATCATAAATCTGAGCACAGATGCAGAGCATGGTAAAACCTGCTAAAATGAACATAACCGAGACTGGCTAAAAGACAAAGAATCTAGACTAGTAAGACAAAAAAACAGATAACACCCTAAAACGTATATACTGATGCAAAAAGCCCAAAATGCACAACCACAAAAGATGCACTGGTGCAAATGGTTCCACCTTATCTAAAAATGCAAATATAACTCAAAGACTCAAAGTAAAAAAGGAATAGGAGGTCCAGTGTGAAAACATTTGCTATGATACCTGTTTTGATGCACTGAGAATATAAAGTATTTCAAACATAGCTTTATATAGCTGCTTCTTTTCATCAATGTGTGAACAATGAAAAGAAATTTTTCAGATTCAAAATTTTGTAACGCTTATAAGTTTTTTACAATGCTGCTTTGAACTTATCTGTCAAAACAACCACAGTTTAAATTTAAAGAGACATCGTGCTTTATCACTTATGAAACATTTCATCCAGGTGATCAGCCAGGCCAAAGAAAACATCTTTTTTTCTTGTGAAAATAATTTTGTAAAAGTTTAGACCAATCTTATAAAATATGTAGCATTATCTCAATGGTCGGTATATTTTCATAACAAAACCAGATTTTTAACTAAAATCCCTTCTAAGCCTTCTAAAATTGATTCTGTACAAGAGAGACATAAATTGCTACATGACAAAGCCCTAAAAAAGCTTAATATTTTTGTTATAAAACTGTATAAAACACTGATGGATACAAGGTTCACAAGATTTTAAATCAAATGTAAACAATAAACAACTTTTAGTTTATTAATTTAGAAGTACACTTTGCATTCGTTCGACTTCACTTCTTAAAAGAGAGCTTCGTCTTCACTCTTTCAGTTTACAAATCTCTGATCTCACCAAGCCAATCAGAGTTCATCATCAAAATATAAAGATCATCATATAATCATCTATACTAGGCAGAGGGTAGTTTATAACTAGACTCTGTGTGCAGCGTAATGCTAAAGCTACTTTTGACATAATAAACATCTTACTTTCAATTTTAGATGAGAAATCCATACTTTACTCTTAAATGAAGCCTATCTTAACTATACAAAAGGTTGAAAATAGAAGACTTTTTTGAGACATTTAAATTGGAGAAATATAATTTCATTCCTTCTATACATACATGTAGTATCAATAATATATAGTTTTAAGAGATTTGAGATCATATAATAAAGCCAATGCTTCAAGATGTGTATTGTATCTTGATCCATCAGGTCCTGTTTGGCAAATCAACATTTTTATCAAATAAATACATTTTGATGGTATTTCCCGTCGGATGTGACTTGTTCAAGCATAAGTAAAGAACATCTTGCCTACAGACTCTGTTTACATCTCAAAGGGGATAGAATAAAGTTTAAATAAAAATTATTATTGGATGATGTACATGAAATTCGTGAGCAATTTGACATCTAGCTGAGTTCCCAATACTGTAAATTTCCCTTGATTTCCTCAACAGCCTATTTTGTAAGCAATTTTATGTAAAAATGATTGAATTTCAGAAGTGATGATTCCTTACAATATTATTACATCTCTCCTCTATTCATATTTTCTCCCAATAAATAAAATATATGAAATGAGATTAGAGGAGGTTGATAGGAGGGGAGGGGAATGAGCTTGGGCATTAACAAGCCCTAAAAACAGGCATGGCAATTTTGAGGCAATGGGAATAATATAATTCTATATTCCTCTTCACTTCTGTTTACAGCACTGATTTGAAAAACATAATTGTTTAAATATCATAGTGAAAAATTTGGATGAGGCATGTCTCATTTGAAAAACATATTGTTTAACCTTTACCATGCTGCCTTATTTCAGCAAATATATCCCACGCAACTGGCTTATTTTTCAAAGAGTGCAAAAAATGATATGCCTGGACTAAATAATTAATATCTCAATAACTACTGAATGAATCTGGATAAAATTTTCACAAAGGGAAGACACAGTGGCCTGGCTCATGAAAAAAATGTTCTCATGAATTTTTTCGTACATTAACACGACTGGGAATAAATATACCATGAATACTCCTCCGGAATCCGCCGCTCCGCCTCTTCGTCTGGTCAGAATCCAAATCTGAATTTGCAGCGATCAAATGTTCAATTTTTCAATTCAGAAAATATTCTAGCTTCTATTTTCGATGACCGTTATCGGCTTCCAAGAGCCTAAAGAGCTCGAAATCGTAATCCATTTCCTCCACATTTTCGTTGTGATCGTATTTGTCCACCATTTTGTACGATTCGTTCACTAAAAACGACTTAAACACTGTTTAAATTGTTGAATTGAGAATTATTTTTCGAAATATTGCATTTCTAGGTCAACAGGAAGTCATGTTAGGCACTGAATAAATCGGGCAATCTAATTGGACAATACGAATGGCGCGAAAAAGTAAAGTTTTTAAAAGTTTGAAATCGGGCGTACGGGTCCGCCGGCAGTTGTGAGAGACATTTTAGTCTCGGCGGACGAGTCCGCCGGCAGCACGCTAAAGGTTAAATATCATTGTGAAAAATTTGGATGAGGCATGTCTCATTTGAAAAACATATTGTTTAAATATCATTGTGAAAAATTTGGATGAGGCATGTCTCATTTGAAAAACATATTGTTTAAATATCATTGTGAAAAATTTGGATGAGGCATGTTTCATTTGAAAAACATATTGTTTAAATATCATTGTGAAAAATTTGGATGAGGCATGTTTCATTTGAAAAACATATTGTTTAAATATCATAGTGAAAAATTTGGATGAGGCATGTCTCATGCCTGTTTAAGGTCAGGGTGCATTCAAACAGGAATCACTCCTTCTCCACATTGTCTACATCGTTCAGTTTTGCTCAAAGAGTGCCTAGAAAAGACTGTAAAGAAGTTTTGTTTTGTAAAATGTATAAAAAACGAGTAAATTCAGTGAAAAAAAATTTCTGAAAGTTTTCTGAATTTTCTTGTTTTTTATACATTGTATCAAAACATTCTTCTTTACATTCTTTTCTGGGTACATTAGTGCACTCATTGTGCAAAAGTGAGAGATGTAGACATTGTGGAGAAGGAGTGATTCTTTGAAAAATAACATGTGACCCTATTGAGGGTTGCAGCAAAATTCAGATCAGAACATGCACACTAACCTTGAAAGTCCCTGTTTCGTTAAGAACAACATACCTTGAAGAGATTATGTGAGATTCCTTTAAGCTGCAGCAAATCTTGAATCCTCTAGTCAGATCTACCTCCGAGTATTTGTCATCTGATATGAGATTCTAGAGAACTGAAATATATCAACATATTAAGGTAGAATGAGTAATTTAGTTATTCAACATAGATATTTTATATGTGTACACTTATTACAAAGCTATATGACTTGTCCCATGTAACATTTATGGTTTAAACCCCTACTTTCCCTTTATGAAGTTTAAATATCGACTTACTTCATATTTCCAGGGTCTAAAATCAATATTTTCACAAACAAAATCATCATTTATCCTTTTCTCCCACTGATAACTGTTGACAAGTATAAGTCATCACAAAGAATAAACCAGGCATTAACATGCAAAATGTCACCACCTGCCATTTGTTACAGACACCAAACAATGACTGCTGAATGCCAACCACTACCGCTGAACACCATCCACAAAGTTCTGATGGTGACATAATGAACAGGACTATGACAATTCTGCTTTATTAACAGATAAACAAATATCAACTTTACAAACGTGACCATAAAGATATGAATCATTCGACCTTGTAAGAAGAATATACAGTATGTAGTACAACTGAAATTGCATACTCAACCACAACCGGATCATTTGGTTTTAACAAGTCTGACCACATCACTACAAAAGATAACAGAAAAGGGAAAATGAGAAGCGCAAATTCAAATGGATCATTTAATTTGCAAAGGACCTTGCCTTAAATGTATTTGGGATCTTTATGGTGAACCATGGCAATTTCTATAAGAGGTTACTTGAGGAGATGCCATATGTATCTATCAACCTAAATTCAGGATGAGGATCTGATATTTCCCTGTCAAAATAACAGAAGATCACCAGAAAACAACTTCAGACTCAAACCAATGCATATCAACTTTACTTTAAGGTTACCCTGGGTGTCAGAGCCAGTTATTAGATGAAGATGAAACTCTCTTTTAAGGAACAAAATCAATCTATTGGAAAGGATAATCAAGTGGTATTGATTGAGGCAGAAAACATCGTAAATTATATTGACAAACAATAGCTTTTTAAAGCAAATAAATAGCAAGTCTAAAATTAAAACCAGAAATAAGATTCCTCATTCTCGCATGTTTCATGAAACTTTTAGTGCTTATTGACGAATTGCATGAGTGGATTCTTCATTTCAAGATGATTTCACACCATCTCACTTTTCATTAACATCTTCTCACTGTATATATAGTACCGTAAAACCTGTCTTAATAAAAAACACACAGTAGAACACACAGTCATAATTGTTCATGTACAGTGGATTTTGGGCTTATAAGTAAAAACAAACTGCTGACCTTTACCTTACACTGAAAGTCATAACACAGAGAAAAATAAAATATATTTTAGGAAGATGAGGCCACTAGATTCAGAATGAATGTTCCTTTTGTCTATTATAGCTCAAATATCAAAGAAGAGTTATTTGAAGATTTCACCAAAGATAAACTTGATCAACCTGATAAATCTAAATGGAGAATCAGAGAAAATTTCTCAAAGATTTTCAAAAAAATTTATAATTTTGGGGTCTTGAGGTAAATATTTTTGGTACATGTAATTATCCCAACGAACGAAGTTCGGTAGGGATATAGTGAAGCCCTCCGTCCGTCAGTCTGTCAGTCAGTCAGTCAGTCAGTCCGTCCGTCCGGAAGATAATTCAAATATTAGTTGACGGATTTTCTTCATATTTGGTGGAAAGATGTATATTGATGAATAGTTTTACGCCAAAAAAAATTTTTCAAGATGGCCACCGCTTTAAAAATGACGGGACTTTTTCGCAAAAATCATAAATTTTTCATTCTAAACCAAAGTAATTAATATTATTGTTTGAAATTTTGGTAGTATATTTGCAACATCTATCTATTTCACATATATTCCGTGTTTTTCATCCTGACCCCCAGGGGCCGTGTATGGGGGTCCCGAGACTGCGGCTAATTGTAACCCTGTCGGTTACAATTGGCCGCATTGCGGCTAATTGTAACCCGACTGTGGATATTGCGGCCAATTGTAACCCAATCACTAATTGTAACCTAAAGCGGTTAATTGTAATCCAAATTTTGAAAATTTAATTTTATGTCTTAAATACAATTAAATTGGTATTTATTTAATTTTAGAATCTGTTAATCTTGCAATTGAGTCAGATGTCCAGAAATAAGCCCTTTATCAGTTCATCTTTTCAGAAAAGCAACAAACTTGGTATATTTATAGAAACACTTCATCTGAGTGAAAAATGATTTCAGTGTAAATGATTTTGGATAGTCTTTGTGGATTTTTTAGCCCCTGACCCCCTCACCTATCATGCATGTGGGGGGTACATTATAAACACTAATTAAAAATGATTTTAAAGTAATTTTCTTTAAATGACTTCCTTTGGTGATTGCTTTGAGTCTTGAAATTGTGTAAAACCCATTTTGAAAGTGGTGTTTAGAGGGAAAATACATGTTAACTAAATTATCTAGCAATAATTCATGGTTTAAAGGGCTAGATATGTGACATCCAGTACTGTATTTCAAGAATTTGATGACTTGAAGTCTTTAAAAAATCCATTGTTATAGAGATTTGGGTGTTTATCACAGACAAAATATATAGCCAAGTTACCGTCATGTATTTTTGATAAAAAAGTATTGAAATTTCAATTTTTAGCTCTTATGGCCTAGGGGTAACCTTATTTAACCTTAATAATTTTTAAGATATGCTATGTATGCATCTCATATGAGCTCAGAATGGTATATAACATCTTGTTTTGTCATATCATTCCTAATTGGATGTAAAAAATGATAAAAAATAAATTTTAAAAAAATTAAATTTACATTTTCGCTTCTGAAGGGCCAGGGGTAACAATATTTTACCCTAGTAATTTTTAAGATAATGTAATATATGCATCTCGTATGAGCTCAAGATGGTACACATAGTCTTGTGATTGGACATTTCTTAAAAATCTAAATTTTTGCATCTTAAATGAGCTCAAAATGGTGTACATGTATATCATCTTTTTTGTCTTATTATTTCTAAAGAAATGTAAAAATGATTGGAAATTGGAAAAATGACATTTTCAAAGTAGCTTGTGATGGTTTAGGTATATTTTACCATAATGACTTTCAAGATAAGCTTATACGTATGTCTCATTAAAATGAGCTCAGAATAGTGGATTTAGTCTTGTTTTGTCATATTGTTCCTACAAAAAAATTCTGTGTCAATATCCATTTATTCCTTTCAAGTACAATGGAACAATAATTTCTAAGATATGAAAATGTTTGATAGTCCAGTTTATACTGAGTAGTAGCATTGTTGGATTCCATGTACATGTACAATCATTTGAGAATATTATACAAATCTATAAAACATAATCAAAAAGTTCAAGATTGATGGATTCTGACAGTCTTCCCTACGGCTGCATAGTCCAGAGGAAATCAGATCTGCTTTCAAACATTCCTCAACACTCCTTACAGGAACATCTAAAAAAAATGGTGGTACCACCATCCAGGTCTCAAACTCAATTGATTTAGAAAATTAGTAGGGTGCAGATGTAAAATGTAACATATCACATCCATTGGTTATATGAATTCTTGCTAGATAAGTGGGTTAAAATGTATTTTCCTCATTAAATACCACTTCTTAATTGGGTTTTACACAATTTAAAGGCCAAAAGCAATCACCAAATAAAGTCATTAAAAAATACTTTAAAACCATTTTTAATTAGTTTTTTTTATAATACACCCCCCACATGTATTTAAGACAGAAAATTAAATTTTTAAATTTGGATTACAATTTAACCGCTTTAGATTTCAATCAGTGATTGTGTTACAATTGGCCGCAATATCCACAGTGGGTCTATAATGGACAGTGCCATAGACTTGAGATATTCTATGGACGGTAACGTATTGTATTAGTTGTACATAAGATATTTAGCGGACAGTAACATGCATGTACATCTGTCAAGTCAAGGTTGCTAGATCTGATAGCCTCTTTCCATGTTATTGTTATAATGGGTAAGAAATGGAATATTGAATTTCCTATATTTGTTTCTTGTTTCAGCCTCTATAGGACAAGGGAAAAAACTGTTGCTTGCTTTATTTATGAAACCAATGAAAGTGTAAAAGATAGCAATGAAGAGGCAAAATAAGATTTAGGATCAAGTACTGATTAAGATGACAAAATTAATAACAATGAATCGGGGTTTCATATTTGAATCAGGTTCGCGTAACCGTCCATCAATTTTTTACGTTACCGCAAATTCAAAATATATTATTATGGCTTAAGTTGAACATATTAGGTGGTTTCCAATACTCAATTGGCTTTGTATGATCGTATGTAGGTTACATCTATATACCCCAAGATTTTTAAGCAATGAATACCATGCCCTAACAACAAAAATTAACAAATTAATTTTGTGTAGTTTTGAATTTCAAACTCAACAGTTTTTCTCTTATTTCATGTTATCCCCATCAATTTGCAAAGACTACGTTCAAAATATACATTACTGAATGCATCACCGAATGCAACGCTTACATAAATCGTTCATCCTTTCATTGATACACAGTAGTAGAAAATAATGCACCAACCTTAGTTTTCTCTTCCATCGTGGCCATTTTATTGGATAAATCAGTGAACGTAGCCGTCCAACCTCATTTTCAGAGGTGGCGTAACCGTCATGCTATAACACCGTGATTATACTCCAGTAAAACCGTTGTAAATATTCACAAATAAATGAAAAATGAGTAAACCTAGTGCTATCAATAGCCATTTGTAAGTAAAACAATATATCAAAAATCTAGAAAATCTAACATGCGGAAAACCTTAAAATCACCATTTATACCCCCTGGGGTAATTTTATGAGGGGGTACTAGGATAAACATTGATACATGTAATTTCTTTTATGTAACTCCAATCACAATAAGGCTGGTTTAATATAATAAGGTTTTATTTATTTGGTTTATTTATATGGTAGAGCCTGAGACCATAAAATAGTTCAGATATAAGAGCCTAAGTTGGTCCAGCCTCCAGAGTATATAGATGATACAGCCTCCAGAGCATATGACAAGTGCAGTCTCAAGAA